ACAGAGCGCAAGGGCCTTGTGAATGAATATACACAGGAAAGAAGCTATGTGAAAACAGAGGCAGAGGTTGTACTGCTGCAATGGAATGCCATGGATCAATAGCCACCTCCCCAGGTCAAAAAGAGGCAGTTCTAGGTGGGAACATGTCCTGGATCACCCTGAGTCCATACATGCTGCCTCCAGACCTGTAAAATGAATACATCTCTGACATTTTAAGCTATCCGCTACTTTGTGATGATAGCCTTACAGAAGCAACATAGCTGATACCTAACTTTACTGATATCCTCCCTTAACTGCCTTCCTGGCCTTGACACAGGCAGCTGAAATAATCCTGTCAATCCTTTAAGTCAGATCTGGTGTCCCCGTTCAGAACTCTGTGCTGTCCATTTCCCCTTTGGAATAAAAGAAATGTATTAGTTAGGGCTCTGTAGAATCACAGAACTTATGATATGTGTGTGTGCATGCGTGTGTGTGTGTGTGTATGTATTTATGTATATGTATATATATTTGGAATGACTTACAGGCTGCAGTCCATCAATGGCTAGTTGTGAATGGAAAGTCCAAGAATTAAGTACTTGCTTGGCCCACAGCAGCTGGTCTTCTTTCTGTATATGATGGACTCCTGAAGATGTAGGCTCCAATGCCAGTAAAGGAACAGATGTTCTGACAAGGCAAGGGCAAGCAGGCGCTTCTTCCTCATCCTTGTATAGGCTTCCAGTAGAAGGTGTGGCCCAGATTAAAGGCGTGCCTCCCCACCTCGAGGTCCAGATCACAGGTGCGCCTCTATTTCTGGGTTATAGTGCATTCCAGATATACTCAAGCTGACAACTAAGTATAGCTATCACGAGACTTATAGTATCTGATACCCTTTACTCACTTCTTCCCCATCAGCAGCACTGACCCATTGTTCTTATCCCCTAATTTAAGTAATCAAGTAAATGAAGATTCCCAGGAGCCTCTTCCTTGCCTATGAAATGGAAAAATAACCATTTTCTCCATATTGTGAAATCAGAGGATACACGCAAAGTACTGGCCACATCAAGGATATTCAGGAAACATCAGCAATTATTCTTAGTCAGTGAATTCCAAAAGAACCTGGAAGTCCAGTGCTGAGATATCAAAAGTATCTTAAAGTTTGAAAAATAAGATGGGTCTCCATTTTAGTAGGTTTGGTTTCCTTTGCTATAGGTTCAGGTTTTTAAAACTTAGTGGAATTTGGAACAAATACTTGAAGAATCCTAGGATTTCAGCAAAGTGGCACAGGTGTCACTCATCCCTAATGCTGTATCTGGATGTCTACAGCTACCATAGCACCAGAGCACCGCCACAGGCTGGAATCTGCCAGTGAGCTTGTGTCATGGCCAAGGCTCCCAGAGGAAGACTGCTACCCACAGCAACTTCCTCACACAAACTCAGCTCCTGCCCTCTCCCACACATTCTCCAATGACAAGACATACTTGGCTTTAAAATGAGGACTATCCTTTTTTCTTAAATCTCTTTATTGAAAACTGTCAAGCTCGCAGATTTTAATATATAAGGTTTCATAGCTATGGTGGGAAGGGAAAGTATCTGGGACTGATAAGGCACTTGTGATGATTCTGCTTCCGTGAAAACATAAGAAAAATTGTGAGAAGAACCTAGAAAATCTCAAGACCCCTTATATCACTGCTTAGAACAAATAAATTAGATTTAAATGGAAAAATGCAGTATTTGAGAGCCATGATGTGAGGGACAATAAGTCCACAAAAGAAGAAGCAAAATACATTTTAAAAGACTCCAGGACACCATGCTAGTGTGTTAGAAGATGAATGGGAATCTATTAGAAAGATTTTTTTATTTAGATTTCAAAAAATTGTGACAGGGCTGTATTTTCAAAACTTTCATAGCCTTTGATAAGAGTGCGCCCTCTAGTGATTGTATCTCCTCTAAAAGATTATAAAAAGAAAAAAAGAAAAGGAAAATGACTTCCCTTAGTGTAGCTTAAGAAAAATCACCCCTTCTCCGACAACCTCAACTAAGGAAATGGCTTGGTCAGTTTGAGCCATAGGAAGTCTATGGGACATTTTTATTATTGTTGTTCAATTGTTGATGTGGGAAGGCCATGGCCACTGAGCCATCCCACCATAGGCAGGCGGTCTTGGATAGTAAGCATCATTCCTCTGTGGGTTTTGCTTCAACTCCTGTATCCAGATTCCTGCCTTTAGCTCCTGCCCCGGTTTCATTTTGTGCCAGACTGAAGGCTGTAACATGAAATAAGCCCCTTCCTCCCCAAGCTGTTTTTGGTTAGTGTTTTATCACAGCAATAGAAAACAACCTAGGACAAGAAGTTATTTTAACTCACAGCTTCAGGTTAAACAGAAAGCCAAAGCATGGAAAACTATTCCACGTTTATCTACCATGTGCTGAAAAATCTTCTCATTGTACATTACTATTTCATTTTCTTTTTGAGGTGGAGTCTTGCTATGGGTATAGAAATGAATACTTGGCATTGTTATGAATTTTGGTTTACTGATACTAATTTAAGGTCAATTTTGTTGACCTTAGGTATTGTGACCTTAGGTATTGTGTTTATACAGATCATTTAAAAATGTAATGTGTAATTAAATACAGATTATAGATAGTCAAAACTTACAGTTATGTTAGTACCAGATATATGGAGATGCATTTCAAATGGATGGGTATTCTTCAAAACCTTTCAAAGACCTACAGAATATGGCATTTAAAATGGATTATTAGGGTTTTTTCATGACAATGAGACAAAACTGCTCCTGGCAACACCAATTACATCAGAGAGGAAAATGGGCATCAAAGAAACTCATTATGAAGTTTGCCTTCAACATGGCAGGAATAGCCATTTAGACAAGAAACTGTTCTTTCCTGGACTGCTTGATAGCATGCTATCCAAACTGAACAAGTATGTTAAAAGGAAACATGACTGCTGAAATTGTCAAGGGACAGGATAATCCATCAAGGATCCTGCTTCATCAAAAAGTCTGCCAGACATTCTGGGCCTATAGACTGAAGAGGGATGCCCCAACATTACAGAGAAACTTTGGGTGACTGTCTAGGCAGTGAGATGTCTCTGTCAATTTTAGAGTTTATATATTATCCTTCTGAAGCCTTTGATGGAGTTAAAGATAGATAGTTATGGTTATGGTTTTCCTTAGTTAGGATAAAAAAATAAATTACATATAAAACTTTAGACTCATAAAGATAGGCTAGATGACAGAAATTTTTTAGTTTTGCCATTGTTAGTGGACTCAATATTGTTAACTATAGTTCTTGCTTGATAACTGCTTCATTATATATAACTTTACTATGTTGAAGTTAAAACCTTCCTTTTTATTTAGACAGAAAAGAGGAGAGTGATGGGGGATGTCCTTCTGTATGCTGTCAATATATGTTTCTCTTATTGGTTGATGAATAAAGCTGTTTCAGCCAATGGGCAGGCAGGATTTAGCCAGGGAGAAAACCCAAACAGGGATAGAGAAAGGTAAGTAGGCAGAGTCAGAGAGAAGCTATGTAGCTTCTGAGAAAGCAAGAGACCCAGGCATCACGGGTAAGCCAAGACCACATGGAGATACAAAGATCAATAGAATCAAAATAATTAAGAGAGAGCTAGCCAATAAGAAACCTGAGCCATTGGCCAAACAGTTTATAATGAATATAAGCTCTGTGTGTTTATTTGGTACTGAATGGCTGCAGGATTGGGCTGGACAGAAACTTTCATCTAGATACAGGAGGCCCAGACTGGACTCAAATTTCCAATCATCTCCTGCCTCAGCCTCTCAAGAACTGGGATTATATATGTGTATCCTTCGTCAGCCTTGCTTTCTGTATTTGAAACCAATCTGGAATTAGGAAGAAGTCTCTTTCTGAGAACATAGCTCAATGTTCCAGAATTTACTTGGTGTGACCAAAGTCTCTTAACAAACACAACAAACAAACTTTTAGTAGTGGACCTTGTGGTTTATGTCTGTAATCCAGTCCTTCAGGAGGCTGAGACAGGAGGAATCTGTGATTTTCAGGCCAGTCTAGGCTACATAGTAAAAACCTGTCTCAACAAAAAGTTGGACTAACGTATCCCAGGACTTTACTTGCTTTATGTTGTCTTGACCCTGTTATCTGTGGCTCATGTAAGTTTAATATAAATAATTGATGTATGATATATCTTAAGTCCTAATACTGTTAAACACTCCAGCCCCTTGGTCTCAATAGATATTTTTTTCAAACCACTGTCTCGCCATGCTGCTGGTCAGTTTGTGAATTTGTAGCACAACTGGTCCTTTCATCTTGGCTGTCATCTAGAACGGCTTAGTCTGAAATGTCTGTTTTGACAAAACTTGTGTCCCAAATAGGACTGGAAATTCACATACCTAAGGGCAAAGAAAAATTACAATGATTATAAAAGGGAAGCCAGAAATAAGGTCCTAATAAAAATTGTACAATTGTTCACGAATCTGAATGCTTGTTGAAAAGAAATAATAGCTTTGGTGCATTGAGTGGGGGCCATTCATTTAAGAGATCTATGGAACCTGACCTGTGGTACTCGACAAGGGCCTTTCAGGATACTTTGCCAACTCAAATCATTCAAGAGGCTAAGCTTGGGTGATGCGCATGCGCTCCTAGAGTGGCAATTGGGTCTTTGCCCCCGCCCAAGGGTGACATCTAATAATGTGGCATATGGGTCAGTCAGTCCCAATAGGTGTTGTCTTTTGGGTGTTGTCTGTTGAGGCATCATCTCTTTTGGCAACGTCTTTAGAAGCTGACAACTGTTGAAGGGGCATCTGTTAAAGCTACTTCTGTTGGAGTCATATCTATTGTGGAAACTTCTATTGGGTGGCCTCTGCTTTTGTGACGAAACTCAAGGGCGACGCCCATTGGGCGTGGCCTTAAGGGCGCCCACTGAGGACGCCAGCAAAGCAGCATTGTGATGTGTGCGTCCTTGAGGTTCTGTTACCCGGTTGTCTAGGGCGTTGGCTCAGTCTTGTTCAGGACACCGGAGGAGACGGTCGCAGAAAGGGAGACAGCAAGACAGTCCACTCCCTCAGCCCCCAGCCCTTGGGGGCTGACGGGTAGCCATGGACTTGTACCTAAGCAACTGTTTAAAGGCTGCTGAGGCTGCTGCCTCAAAAGCAGCTTCCAGTAGCCTAAAAACTGACAAAGAAACTTGTAGTACCGTGAGTGTTGCCCCTCCAGTGTCCATTTGTTCATTGCCCTTCTTTCTTGGTCAGGGCAGGTTTCAGGACAGCGACTAGAATCAAGGGAAAAGAGTCTGGGCTGAGGGGCGGGAACAGAACAGAATATTTCACTACCGTGCCTCCCACCTTCTGACCAGGGCAACAGGTGACTCAAGGTGTCACAAGCTTGGAAGAACCCAGAAGTAGGGTGGTACCTTAGGAAGTGGGGAGGTAAAGTCTTCTTGGTTTGTAACCAGGCAGTTCCTTTCGCCCAAGTGCCTAGCAACCTGTGTTGTGCTATCTGCTTGAAGTGTGACACAACTGATATGAACTAAATGAACACTTCTTAGTAGAAAAGCAAACATTTTCATTTTCTTTTCCACAGAAGAGACAGAAACCTGTCATCCCAAAGATCGGACCATCTAGTCTGTTGGATTTGCCTCTTGGGGCCAAACTGCCAATTATCCCAGGAAGTACTAATATATTCTATACGACAAATATAAGTGAAAGGGTAAACTACATTTTAATGGTGTTTAAGTGTTTTTCTTTACTCTTTTTAGCCATTAAATTTGTAACATTTTGTTATGATTGCAGTTTGTCTATCACCTTCAGTTTTGCACAAATGGAATTAAATGAGCTACAATGTTTTAAAGTCCTTAAATTTACTTTAATGATAGAAAGACCCAGAAATAACTGCAATCACTCCATAAAGACTTCTCTCCAACCTTGGCATCAACTTGACAGCTTACCTTTCTGGCCTACACATATACAACATGCTGATCTCTGCCTGTGGGTCTTGGTTCATCTGGTTGCTGAAACTTAGTGTAACTCTCTTGGCTGACAATCCATGTTACAGGAATTGGACTGCAGTTGAGGCTATAGATATATCAAGCACAGAGTTCATAAATAATATCCCACCTGCCACTCTAATGTAAAAATTAGCCTGGAACAGAACAGGGAAGTTCAAAGTTATGATACATTTACCCAGATCAGCCTATTGTATTCCTTCACTTCAGTTTTTGCATGTATATTTTATTTTCAATGGACTTTCTACTTATTTCAATAAACTGCTGATTAAAAGTGTGATTTCATGAATTTTTGCTTTTGCAATAATTTCAAATATGTTTCTTTTTGCAGCTTTACCAGCCTTCTTTCGGATTTAACCTTAATGATCCATATTGTAAACTCATGGAAACCACCTACAAAAGTCTTCACGATCCACACCTAAAAGCATACTTCAAACGAAAAGACATCCTCAAGAAGCTAAAACAGGGAGGATACATCACCAGCAATAACAAAGTGCGTTGAGATCTGCTTCTGATGAACAAAAATCTAGGCACTTTCTAGGTACTTCAGTACCTGGGCCAACTTCTAGTTGACCACTAGCAGATATTACTGAACAAAGTCAATAAAATGCTTAGTATCGGGTGACTCTTTTTTCTTGTAAAAACTACTTTATAGTTGACAATTTTTCAATGATAGGAAAAGATAATTACCAAACAGTTTTTGATTTATAAACACACTGACATTTTCATGTCTCCAGAAATAATTTTGAGTTGAAACTACACTAGTGAAATATTAAGACATTTTCTGATGTATCATCAACTGTCTAGAGATACTGACAACAAAAATGTAACAAAAAATGCATTATTATACTTGATCCTAAAATTGTTACTAAAATGAATATTCTTATTCTCTTCTATAAGCATGTTATAATTTTATAATAATGTTTTTCATTTTTGGATTTGTAGGTCATATGTTCCTTAAAAGAGCTGAACAAATACAGACAATATCTTACCACTTTAAAAATTGACTTTGAACGAAATTATATAAGAGAACAAGTAAGTTAAATATTTTTTGTTTGATTTAGAATGAAAAATTGTGAAAAGCTAGGCCCTTTGCACAATATTTCCATAAAATATTCCAGGAAAAATTCCCTATAAAGAATCTGTAAAAGATAGAGAGCCCGTTTGATTTTTACATATAAAATGTTTATTTGTGGGATGGGACTGTGCAAGGCCTAAAAACAGGTTAGAAGAATTAACAGTTTGTAAAACTCAAAACATTTACTTAAAATTAAATTTAAAAAAACAGATCAAAGGATAAGTTTATTTCTATCAAGTATATAACATCCAATAATATTTCCTTGCAGAAAATTATAGAAAATCAAATGAACAAACTGAACGAAGAAAGACGAGCCTGTGACGACGCTGCTGCTGCTGAATTTCAGCAGTGGTTGTTACAAGAAGGGAAAAAACCTTGCCCTTATGAAGACCGATTAATAAAACTCAGGTTTGTGTATATTTCCTGGGCACATCATAGACAACCAAAACTGCAAAAACACTTGAAAGAATCGGAGTCATAAAGGTGCTAGATACACTTAAGCCCCTCAGCATTTTCAACAAGGAGAATAAAAAAGGTACATCAAGGAGGGCCTTAGAGATAGCAGCTAAGAGCACTGGCTACTCTGCCAGTGGACGAGGGTCTGATTCCCAGATCCCACATGGTGGCCCATAAGTATCTGTAACTCCAGTTCTAAAGGATCTGATGCCTTCCAACGGCACTGCATGCATGTGGTACACAGAATTACATGCAGACAAAACACCAAGACAATTTTTAAAATTTTTTAAATGATAAAAATTACACCTAGAGGTACAGGGATTGGGAACCTTGGTACTAAGGTTGGAACATAAGTTTCCACCTGAGAAACTGGAGCCACCAGGAGCCCAAGAGGTAAGTCAAGTTCTTATCGAAGAAATACAAAATATAAGTCACCGATCTTGTGCAATCCAGGTCTGTGGTACCAGATGGGGAGAGAGCATACTTAATACATATAAAACATAAATTTAAATAAGTTATTTTAAAGCCACAATGATCAAATTGCTATAACTTTATCTAATGCTAATGTAAACATGCCATTCCTTTCTCAACTGGGGATTTTCCTTCAGCTACTATCACACATTACCATTTAGAGATCAAGCTGCAGCTTTAGAAGGTAAAGTGAGGAATTATAGGGGTTTTTTATCTTAATTGAAAGCCAGTTATTCATTATCTGGCCCTGTAAGCCATACATTCATCTCAAAGTATACCAAAGTGACAGGTATTCTGAAGGAACTATCCAGTTTACATTCCTTTGTTTCACTATTACTTAGACATTTGCGTATGATTAACAAAGAACTAGACAAAATTGAAAATACCTCAGGAAGAAGAAATACACTGCAGTTGAAGGAAGAAGACAGACAACATTGGGATAATGTTAGAAGAAAACTGAGTCTACGAAAACAAGTTGAAGAGGTGAGGATCAAATTTTGAATGGAAAGCTTCTATGGTTGTTTGATTTGTAAACAATTTTAACAGGTTCACCCTATCATTTGAAGTTATTTCAGTTTAGAAAATAAAGCCAGGCCAGCCAGAAAGATTCATTTAGAAAGGCACTTCCAAACAAAGGTACTTCCTGTACAAGCCCTTATGTCCTAAGTTCAAGTCCCAGCACATATGTGAAATTGGAAGTGAAGAGCTCACTCTACAGAGTTGTCCTTTGACCTCAGAATGCGTTCTAATGTGACTATTTGTTTAGTTTCTCTGTTAGAATATCTTTAAGAGCAGTGGATTACGTGTGATATCACACCGGAGTTAGAAATCAACACGCTTTTGCCAATATCTTTTGAGATTCATCTTTAGAGTTATTTTTTGTGCTGGATTCATGTTTATAATAACAAAATAACTTTTCTTTTCCATTTCTCTGTATCTAGCAGGACAGATCCAGTGAATAGCAGCTAGATAAGCACATTCAAAACCCAATGCAAGATTTGCTTTATTAACCCTAACCCTAACCCCAAAATATGTTAGGTCATTGATCTAATTTGCATATTGGTTGAAGAAAAAGAAAATACTTTTAAAATGAAACAGATATATGGTGACAACTGTAATGGCATTTCCCTTAGGAATGGCAAGCCAAGGAAATGACACTTCTAACAAAGATTGGAGAGGAAGTTAAGAGGGATGCAAAAGTTGAAGAACATCGCCGGAAAATCAGAGAGGAAATTAACCGAAAGGTAGTCAGTTTTGCTGGACTTGGGCTGTTCAAGAAAGGCTTTTGCCATGATTCTGTATTTTAAAGTGTGAATTTTTAGAAGGTAGTTATGATGGAGAGACTTATTCTAGCCCCAATCTGTAATTTAAGAAAGAGTTCCCAGAAAGGTAAATTTGATTGAGTTGTTACTAAAATATGCTTTTCATCCATAGCAAAGGGATTGCCTAGCATGTACAAGACCGCAGTTTAAATTTCCAGATGGCAAAAGAGAATGAACACATGCACACACGTAAACACAATTTCATGCTAAGTCATATTCATTATAAATGTATACATCTCCAGACAGGGACAAAGATCTACTTCAGTTACAACATCACATGTGAAATAATCAGGGTTGTATTTTTACTGACAGGTTTCTATTTGAATTTGAAATATATCTAATGTATTTTCTAATATTTTATAGAAACAAGCAATGCTTCAGAAGAGAATTGCCTACCATTTACAAAAGCTGCAAAAGAAAGACAGTAAAGAAAAGCAGGAAACAAATATTTCTGAAAGCAGAAAACAATCTGAAACAGGTGAGAGATATAGGAGAGAGATAATAAAAGCCATAGTAGATAAGTGGAAGCTGAACACCAATATTCTATATTAGTGTTTTTATAAAAGCACCTTATGGTGATATGATTTTTTTAAAAGGCCCCTGCAAAAGTAAGTACTAGGAGCCCCCAGTACCTATGTCAGGCACTAGGTGGTGCACTTTCCAGTAACAGGTCCAGTTATCAAAAATATGAGTGTGATGCATAGAGCTGACAAGTAAATACATACTTGTTTTGTTTGTTTTGTTTTTGAGACAAGGTTTCTCTGTGTAGCTTTGAAACCTGTTCTGGAACTACCTCTTGTAGACCAGGCTGGTCTCGAACTCACAGAGATCTGTCTGCCTCTGCCTCCCAAGTGCTGGGATTAAGGTGCATGCCACCATTGCCGAGCTGTAAATACATAGTTTAGCAAACAGCCAGGAAGCGGAGATAGCTTGTATTTCAGATAAGAAATGCAGAAAGTAAATGAGAAGTAAATTGAGGCAGGCAGTAAGAAAACATTTAAAAATGAAGAAAAGTTTAACAAGCCAGTAAGAGCAGGCAGAAAAAATCAAGTGAACATAAAATGAACAAAGAAAGTAGTAGGAAAAGGGAACAAAAAAAAATCTTGAAAAAGAGGAAACATTTAGTAGGCAAAAGTGATACAAAAAGAACTAATGACAAGAAGAGAGAGAAGAAAGAAAATTGAACAAAAAAATGCAGTAGACTCCAGTATTAATCAATTTATGGGAGTAGGGAGAGATGAAGACAAAAAGAGAGAGAGAGGAGGGGATAGAGAAGGAGGAAAGGTAAACAAGGAAGGAAGAGGTGGTAGGAAGAGTCGAAAGGAAGATTGTGATGGCAAGAAAGGGGGTTGAAAAGGATTAATAAGAAAGGAATTCCAGTACATTTGCAAAAGTTTGCAGGGTTTATCCCAGAGACTTCAGCTCTACAAAGTTAAAGAAGTGGAGCAGTTTTTTTTAAAGTAAGTAAAAAAAAAAAGAAAGGTAAGGAGGGAAAGAGGGGACTGTAAGTTACAAAGGGAAAGAGGCTGGGAGGAAGGGACATGGTAATGTTTAAAAGGAAATAAGAAGAGGAGACAGCATGCTTTTTTATCCTACCTGTGGAAAGGCTTGGATAAATAATTTACAAAGATGCTGTCTGAAAGAGGAAGAAAGAGAAAATGAAGGAGGGAAGGAGGAGGAAGGGAGATGGAAAGAGAGTGGAGGGAAGGGAAAGAGAAGAGGGGAGAAAAGGGAAGGAGGAAAAGAGGAGGAGGGGATGGGAAAAGAAGGAAAGAAGACAGAACAAGAAAGGGAAGAAGAATAACAGGGTAGATGACAGGGACAAGAATGGGAAGAAAGGGAAGGAGAGAAGAAGGAAGGAAAGGAGGGAGTAGGGAGGGGAAAGATGAGAACAAGAGGAAGAGAAGAAAGAGGAAAGAGGGAAACATGGGAGGAGGAAAGAGTAAAGACGGGAAGAGGAAATAAACATGGAAGGGGGAAAGAGTAAAGACGGGAAGAGGAAATAAACATGGGAGGAGGAAAGAGTAAAGACGGGAAGAGGAAATAAACATGGGAGGGGGAAAGAGTAAAGACGGGAAGAGGAAATAAACATGGGAGGGGGAAAGAGTAAAGACGGGAAGAGGAAATAAACATGGGAGGAGGAAAGAGTAAAGATGGGAAGAGGAAATAAACATGGGAGGGGGAAAGAGTAAAGATGGGAAGAGGAAATAAACATGGGAGGAGGAAAGAGTAAAGATGGGAAGAGGAAATAAACATGGGAGGAGGAAAGAGTAAAGACGGGAAGAGGAAATAAACATGGAAGGAGGGTGGGCAAATATGGGAAGAGGGAGGGGAAAGATGGAAGGAGAATAAGTGGGAGGAGGGAGAGGAGGGGGGAGGAGGGAGGAGGGGGAGAGGAGGGAGGAGGGGGAAGAGGGGAGAGGAGGGAGGGAAAGAGTGGGAAAAGGGAGGGAATACATGGGAGGAAGGAAGGAAGAGATGGGAGGAGGGGGAGAGGAGGGAGGAGTAGGGAGGTGGGAGTGAAAAGAAAGGGCCGAAAGGAAGGAGGGAGATGGAGAAAGAGGAGAGGAAGGAAAGGAGGGAGAAAGTGCAGAAGCAAGGGGAACTAGCAAGAATGGGGAAGAAAGAGAGGGGGAAGAAAGCCAAGGAAATAGAAAGGAAGGAAGGAAAATTCAAAGACAAAGAATAAATAGCAAGGAGAAGAAAGAAGGAGGAAAAACAAAGTCACGGGGAACAAGAAAGAATTGTGGGAGAAATGCTCGAAAAGCAGTCAATGAGTAGTTCAGGCCTTGTGAGGGGAACGGGGTCCGTTTTTATTTAAACAGCTATGTAGACAGATTAATAGGTCTGAATTTTAGGGGGAAAATAGACAGAAAACATGGCAGGAAAAGATTCAAAAATAAGGCAAGCAAAGAAAAAATTTAAGAGGAGGATCCAATAGAATGCGAACCCATAAAAGGAAACAGGAGGAGAAAGGGAGGATGGAACAGATGAAGAATAGCCTACAGGAGGGGAGGGCAGAAGAAAGAAAAGCAAAAGAACACTTTCAAGAAGCAAACATGAACAAAACAACAAAAAGTAAAGGGAGAGGAACAAACTGAAACGAATGGTAGAGGGAATGAATGGAGCAGTAGGGGCTATCAGGTAAAGTAATGGTCACAATGCGAAGAAGAAAGGACTGGGACTAGTGAGGTCAACTACAATATGGGTAGGACCCCTTTTGAAAAGCCACTAAAAGAGTCGAAAGGAAATAGAGATTACGATAGGTAGATAAGGTAGGCGAGAACAAAGAGTAAGTATATGAAGAAAGCCCTCAAGAGAACAAGAAAATCAAGCCAAACAAGATAAGGGGATTCGAAATGTAAATAGATAAAAATACACAGGTGATTTCACAGGAAAAAAAACAAACCAGCATAGACTGGATTCTAAACAGAAGCTAGTAAATTAAAACAATATAAAAATGGAGGAGGGGGTTGGTGGCACAGGCCTTTAACCCCAGCCCTCGGGAGGCAGAGACAGGCGGATCTCTGTGAGTTCGAGACCAGCCTGGTCTACAGAGAGAGTTCCAGGACAGGCTCCAAAGACACAGAGAAACCCTGTCTCAAAAAAAAAAAAAAAAAAACAACAACAACAAAAAGGAGAAGGGAAAGCAAATGCTTAACAGCAGCCTGTGGAGCCAGAGAGATGGTTCCCTGATGAAGAACATTTACTGTTCTTTCAGAGGGCAAAGCTTTGTGCCGACACCCACATCAGGTGCCTCATAGACACCTGTATCTCCAGATCCACGGATCCAGCACCCTCATCCGGTCTATGCAGGCACCTTAATACTTGAGGCACACATACATACAGTCTGTCTCACACACACACACACACACACACACACTGACTAACCTAACAGGAGCTCATACATGGAGGAAGAAAAGGGGAGCCAAGGAGCGAGAGTGACAGGAAAAGTAATGAAGGCATGGGAAGAAAGGAGAAAAATGGAGACTACTGAGCAAGAGAGAGGAAGTGGTCAGAGAAAGCAAGAAAAGAAAAGGCTAGGTGGGGAAAGGGAACGTAGAAAAATGAGTAGGAAAATGCACAGGTTTTAAAATTTGGGAATCTGATCATGAAAGAAAAGTGTAAAGGAGCAAGGAAGTGAGATAGATTTGAAGCAGTAACAGAGGTTTACTAATGCCTTAAAAGGGTGAAGCCAGGTAATGAGGAGATAGCTCAGCAGTTAAGACAAGCGACACCTGGGGGGACCCAGGTGTAATTCTCAGCTTTCACCACTGAAATTCCAGAGCCAGTGATAGGAAGCGTTTTTCTGGCCTCAGGGCACCAAGCATGTTCACACATTTGCCAAAACACCTGTATACATAAAAAATAATAAAATGCTTTTCAAACCAACGCTTACAAAAGTAGTTAAAAGAAAAGATGGGAAGAAGAAATTAGCATGTGGAGCCAGTAAAAAGACAATGTGAAAAAATGAAAGGCACAAGAAAGACAGGAGGATAGAATTATGAGTAATAAAGGAAATGAAGATCAAGGGAAAGGAAGGTGAGGAAAGAGGAAGGTGAAGAAAAGTAAAAAGAAGGAAACAAGAAAGACGGGAAAGGGGAGGGAAGGGGGAGGAAGGGAATAATAAGGAATAATCTTCAAAAAGGATGTCAGACAAGCAAGACATGGCACAGATATGTAATCCCAGACTGGGTGGGTGGATGCAAGATGATTATGCATTCAGGGCCAAGATGGGCTACATAGTGAGTGCCAGGCCAACCTGGGCTACATAGTGAGTGCCAGGCCAGCCTGGGCTACATAGTGAGTGCCAGGCCAACCTGGGCTACATAGTGAGTGCCAGGCCAGCCTGGGCTACATAGTGAGTGCCAGGCCAACCTGGGCTACATAGTGAGTGCCAGGCCAGCCTGGGCTACAAAGTAAGACTCTCAACAATCAGAAGAGGAAACCAAAAGTTATGTGGAGAAGAGAGAAGAGTGTTGAAAGAGGAGTAAGCATGGAAAAGCAAGTTCAATTTTTGGTGAACGTCTAAGGTTTAAGAGCAGATAGTAAGATATAGAACAATAAATGATTGGCTTAAATAGGTAAGACTGTTAAAAGAGAAAAATAAAATATTTAAAGGGGTCTTTGCACGGAAGTAGTAAAAGAAAAGAAAAACAGAAGCCATGAAAGACAGTAAAGAAGGAAAGGGGATTTTATAAAACCATGAGCCAGCCAGCAGTTAAAACAGTGTTCTCAGGGCAACTGCAATAAAAGTAAGTCTCCCTACAGACCATGGGCTAGTGGAGTAGAGCGGAGCTTGGCTGATGCAAAATTCAGGAGGAATTTCAGAGGAGAAGGGCAGAGGGCGGGGAGGATTAGTTAAAGGGACCTAATGACTTTTGCTGAAGGCAGAGCCGGGTGATAGGATACCCCCTGAGGAACAGTAGAGCACAGGACACCAGGAGCGGGACTGGGAAAGTGGTGTCTGGACTGATGCAGCAAGGTTCAAGCGGGGTTGTCTACGGAAGTTCACTGATGGGCCTAGCAGAATCTTGGCCAATAGAGAGAAACATCAGTAGATCAAGGAAATACAGACAGTGGTTGCAACAGCTGTGTTGGGGGTGAGATGTAGATTCAAGGGCAGACTTTAAAGGGGAAATTCGGGGCCCAAGGATGTGGGCTCAGGCCCTCCTTTCCACTCCCAGAACTAGAAAATGGAGGGGAGGAACTGTAGTGATGTAGGAAAATAAATAAGCAATGCAATCCAAGTCAGAAAATTAGGAAAAGAAAATGGAAGACAGGAACAGAAAGGCAAGAGGAAAGGGGTATGAAAGACATGTAAAGTCAGGGAAGGAGAAAGAAAAGATGGGCAGCCTGCACGCAGGCAAAAACTAAAAGGAAGTGAGAGTTAAGGAGACATAGAAAAGAGAGGAAGGGAGGTATTTAGGAAGAATATAGTAGAACAGTTTTTAAAGAGGCACATAGCCTTGGTAATGAAGAGGAAGCTACCATTTAAAAGCCTACAAAACACAAAGCTAAGAAAGATGTTTGGCAGTTCCGAAGGTGAGTGATTGCTTTGGTAGAAATGCAGTTGTTGGAACTTTAAAAACGGAAGCCAGTAAGAGAAAATACTGGTATGAGATAGGGAGAAAAGGAAGGGGTGGGGAATCAATTGATTCAGTAAACTAACTGGTAATTGTAGAAAGGAAAGTATGCTATCAGTCTCTGGTCAGTTGTGTTGAACCTCTTACAATATGAAGGAGAGGGAATGTAAGACTGAGTTGGTGAGACCAGTATCACAGTGCAATTTTATGGTAGGGGACAAATCTTAGAAGTAGGAGTCAAGAAAAGAAAAAAACAGAAAATGGATCATTGATGATTGATAGATAAGTAGATGGTAGGTAGGTAGGTAGGTAGGTGGGTGGGTGGGTGGGTGGGTGGGGGGTGGGTGGGTGGGGGGTGGGTGGGTAAACGGTGGTAGGCAAGAAAAGGAAAAACATAAAAGTTAGAGTTTAGTAAACTAGTATATAAAACAGAGTGAGGCAAAGGGGAGAGAAGACTTTTAGAGGTGAGAGATGGAAAGACCAATGCAAATGCAATGCCAGCAGGCAGTAAACTGTAGTGGTTACAGTTAAAAGTTGCTGGGGCCCTAGGATCCTGTCCTCTGGACAATAAAGAATGAAGCACTTGAACTTAAATTGAGTGCTTCAACCAATGCCATTTATTAGAAAGAGAAATCCCTAAAGCATGAGGGGTTCCAAGAGAGGACACCATTAAGTGACACGGGATATGTGCTTTTAAACAGTCACAGAATGTTAAGAGGAAAAGTGGGAAATTGTGATTAAGGAGTTTAAAGGTGACTTGTCATTCGATGCACAAGAGTATAGATTTCTTTCCTAACACCAGCACTCCATAATTTGCTACTATATTTTTTTTTTTGATTCATAAAGCACCTGTAAGACTTCTCGTGGGACACCTGGCACTGGTGTCAGGAAATTTGATTGAGTAGGTGGAGTCAGGGTCTTACTGGGGCTAAGCTCTTACTGTCTAACTGTGCCCCTGCTTCAGTCCCCCACAGAACAGGTGAGGGGAGAGGAGAATTCAGGCAAATACAGCTAGGGCCACTTCAGTCTGAGAAAGGGTATTGAATATTGACTGCAGTCAGGGTACCTATTTAGAGATAAAAGGTAAAACACCCATTTCAGGTTATGTGAACAAAACCATCGCAGTCTGATGGATCTCACAACACAGTAAACTCAGAAGTGAGAAAGTTTAAAGACCTCCAAGTTTAAAGGACCACACAAGCCATTGAGTTAAGGCTTTACTGATGAGCTTTTAATGCCTGAATGGTGGAGGCCAAGTAGATTGTGGACCTTGGAGGAGATAGTGAATATTTAATTGGAGTTCAAGTGTAGTAAAAGTAGGGAATTGTCATTTGGTCAGTAGCTTTAGTGCATTTTTTTATACTTTTTTGTCAGTTGTAGTGTTTCACATCTGTCCAAGTTAAAGACTTAATGTAGGAGTTTTTTTTTTTTTTTAATTTTCACCTCTTTCACTGTACTGATGCAGGAGGCATTTAAAGAGTCAGGTAAAAGGAAAACTATATGTAACAGCAATGGACAGGCAGGTGGGAAAACAATAGGTAGAAGCTGGAATTTGAGATACAAGTCTATTCAAAGTCTCAGGAAGCACATACGGAGAAGGGTTTCAACAAAGGATAAATGAAAGAAAGTAATTTAAAAGAACTTCCAAATTGGAAGAATGAAATAAAGCAGAGAAATATAAATGATGGAGTGCAAGAGGAAAGGGAAGCAAGCAAGGTGAAAAGAACGAAATGAAATGAGAGATGACAAGACAAGCAATAAAGGAAAGGAGGGAAGGCAGATGGACGGTGAGGAGTTCAAAGTGGTAAGTGCAGAAAACGCAGAATTTAAAAAAAAAAAATGTGAGAAGGAGAAACTGGAATTCGGAAAGGCAGAGTAGTAAGAGAAGTAAAACCGGAGCTAGCAAGGAAATAGAAATTTATATAAGAGAAGATTATCCAAATACCATAAAAACGTGCAGCGATGCATCAGTGACAGCTAGACAAGAAGGAAATGAGAATGTGCGGGCGAAAAAGAAACAGGAAAATCATTGGTTTTCCGTAAGAACGCAATAAAAAGTAGTAAAGGGGAAGAAAAGAAAAATGAGAAACTTTTTCAGAGGTAAGTAGATAAAAAGCAAGTTTCATGTTAACCTGGGTTACAAATTGAGACCCTGTATGAATGATTTACAGATGAATGCCTATAACAAAGCTTTATATATATATATATGAGAGAAAACTAGTTTAAAAGGAAGTGCCAGTAAGACCATAAATTTTTAAATAGGCATGTCATCTCATATCTGTGACCCCAGCCTCTAGAAGCTAAAGAGGGACTGGTATGGTTTGAGGGCCAGTTTTGGATAGAGAATGAGACTCCTTCTAAGAAGAAAATAGCCACGGTGCAGTGTTTGTTGCCTTCTTTCCATCCCAGTACTGAAGAAGTAGAGTCAAGCAAATCTGATCGCTATGAATTTTGGCTCAACCTGATCTACATACCAAGTTCAGGCCAGCCAGGGCTACACAGTGAGACCCTGTATCAAAAATAAAATATCTAAGAAATAAATTGACAAAGGAAAGGAAAAATAAGAAAGACGAGCACAGAAAGAATATCAGAAAATAATCAGTGATTGGGGAAAGCTCAAATACAAATAATAGCATTAGAGAAGAGAGAAAAGGGGGTAAGAAATATTTCTCTAGGGTGAGTTGATAAATATTACTGCAAAAACTATTGAAAGTCAGAAAAAAAGAATTACATAAGTTCTAAATGGGGAGGATATTTTAAATGTTAGGAGCAGGGAAAAATAGAGTTATCTGATAGTTAATCAGTGGACACTTTGTGTAGCTGACAATTCTCCAGTGTGGTTCACAACACTGACTTCCCCACAGGCTCTGCCAGTGTAGTCATGGCTATACTTTGCCTTTCCAGTGAGGTCCTGAGCAGATCTTAGGCTATTCATGTGCTCCTGCTAGCCCTTGCTCACTATCTCTGCCTCCTCCTTTTTCTGCTTAGTAAACTACGCATACGGGTTGCTGACCTGAAGTTCCATGGATTTCTCTGAAGCCTGTGGGCCTATGAACCTCCTAAAGAGCAAAGCCAGTGCCAGTGTGCTCCCTTTGGTCTTGGACCTTTTAGACCTACAGTAATATGTCATGCCACTGGGAACAGATGTATTTTATTAGCCACATGAAATTCTGCAGCACCAGAGTTTTCTACATTGTTATCTTGGGCCTTTTGGAAAAGCACCACTGAGTAGTAGTTGTCATTTTAATAGTTGACATTTTATCTTTTTGTCATCTCCACACTGTTAAAAATAAATGTCTTTTTTTTTAAAGCTTCTTCAATAACCCCCAAAAGATCAAGTCTCGCTGAGCAGAAAACGTCTCAAGAACATATGGAACGAAAACGTAACTAAAATATTATGATTGGGAATTAGTATTTAGTGGGAATACTGGATTTGGTAATGAGCCTTATGCTTATAATGCAGAAAAATCCTCTATCCTTTTCCATCAAATAGTGTCTTGTGGGTAACACTCATGAACAACTGTCACCATCTTCACTTCTCTTGACCAGACTCCCTGGTGTTATGCCACACACACACACACACACACACACACACACACACACACACACACACACACACACACCCCAGGGCAGGGTACACCACTTTGAGCACCGAAATCTCCAAACCCCGATCAGAACTGTCACTTTCTCATGACTCCCCCTACCAAGCTTGTCTCTGTGCTGTTCTGGATGAGTACCTGAAGCCGCTCTTTAGTATATGCCTCTGTTGATGGCGTTCCTTTGTCTCACCTGGAGAGCTGTCCTTCCTGATTACTCAACAGAAGCTCTCCTGTGAGCTTAAGGACCAAGACCACTGTCCGAGTGCTTTTTTAGTCCTCACCTTCCCCTGGCTTTGAGACACACAGGAACATGTGCCATTGGCAGCAGAAAGATTTAATTCACCACATACGTTTATGCAATAGCACAGAGTTCCTCATTATTGTCCCCCAGCTTCTTTTCGGAAGCCACAATTGAAAAGTAGCTATGCTAACATTTGTTATTTTATCATTTTGCCTTCACCACTGCTAAAAATAACTTTTTTTTTATAGCATCTACATCAAGTATGAGGACAAGTATCTCTGACCAAAGACTGTTACAAGATTCAAGAGAGTCAAAATGTAACTATTGTTCTGCAATTGGAATTTAATAATTTATAAGACCTGGTGACAATCACCCCCGCTTAGCATGCTCATGAAGCCACTGTCCCCATCTATCAAATAATGACTGCTGATAGTTTGCCAATGGCGCTATCATCCATGTTGCCCTGTAGATTAGACTCTGGAACTGCTCAATCCCTGTGGCTTTCTCCTCATTCCCATGAGCAGGGAGGCCCATGCTGTACAGCTGACAACTCTTCAAGTCAGTTGAGAACCCTCCCAATTACCGAGCCTGCTTCTATAATTTTCCTGATTCAGAAGATCCTGGGGCAGATTTCCAGTCATGCCTCCACTGCTGCTATCCTTTGCTCCAGCAGCTCTGCCTCCCAAGGAGGCTTTTACCTCCAGGGCTACTGCTGTCTCAACAAGTGACTGTTGAATGGAAGCTCTGCTAATACTTCATTTAGTACAACTAAAGTCTGCCAGTGAGCTTTCTTCCTCCCTCCCTCCCTTAGGCTTTGGGTGCTTGAGACCTCTAGTAAGATCTTGTCACTTGCAGCAGAAAGACTTCATTCACTACAGGCATTTTGGCGTGAATAGAACGATGCCCACTCTTGTCTCCCTGGTCCTTTTAGAAAAACATAACTGAGTAATAGTCAGTGATCCTTTTAATATCTGTGATTTTTCTAATTTTGTCTCCATTGCTAAAAACAACTATTTTCTTGTTGTTTTTGTTGTTGTTTAAAGCTACCTCACAAACTACAAAAGCCAGTTTTGAAGAAGAGAAATCTTCATTTTACGAACTTCTGGAAAAAAAATGTAATTAAAATTTTATGAGTAGAAATCAGTAATTTGTGGGACTACCACGCAAAACGCAGAAATCCTCCATGCCTTTCCATCAAATGGTGCCTTGGGGGGGGGGGTAATGCTTAGGAACTGTGTCGCCTTCTCCACTGCCCCTGAATAAATACCTTAATTGCTCAGTTAGTGGTGTTCTCTCCATACCCCCAGAGCATGGCACACCACAGTTTGCAAACCCCAGTCAGAACTGTCACTTTCTCATGACTCTCACTACTGAGCTTGTCTCTGTGCTGTCCTATTTCCAGTGAGACCCTGGAGCCACTCTTCAGTGTGCGTCTCTGAAGATGCCGTTCCTTTGTTTCACCCGAAGAACTGTTCTTCCAGATTACTCAACAGAGGCTCCCCTCATGCATCTGAAACCCGTGCTTTCTCAGTCCTCACATTCCCTTGTATTTGAAATACACAGGAACATGTGCCATTGGCAGCAGAAATATTTAATTTGTCATTTATATTCCAGTATCATAGACTGTCCCCTGGTTCTTTTAGGCAGGTCCAATTTGGTGGTTGCTGTCATTATAACATTTGCCTTGATATCATTTATTCTTCTCCACTGTTAATAATAAATGCCTCCCCTTTTAAGTTTCTCCAACAGAGACAAGGAGATCAAGTTTGCCCGATGAAAAGACATTTCAAGAATTTTTAGAACCTAAAGGTAATTGAAATTTTATAATTAGAAGTTAGTAATTTGTGGGGATTCTTAATTTGGTAATATAAAGATCTCTTCTAACTACAAGTTAGAAAACATCCTCTATCCCCATGCAAGATGGAGTATTTGGGGTACTGCTTACTAAGAGGAGCACTACTCTGTGCCCTCTGAGGTAGACTCCCTCAGAGGTACTGATCCCAAAGTGCTCCAGAGTAAAATAGGTCTCATCTTGTGGGTGACAATTCCGCAAGGCCAATTTAATGACCCTGATATTCCCAATAGTCCTTTCTGTACTCCCTTTGCTAATGTGATTCTCCGGCAGCTCTTTGTTCGGCCTCTGCCTCTGCCCCAGCCACACCGTGCTAAGCAGCTCTGCTTACCAAGAAAGTTTTACCTCAAAAAAATCCATTCTTCTACTCAGGTGTATCCTATCTGGGACCAGGGGCAGCTATGAATGCTGCTGGATACAAAATTATAAACTTACTTAAGACACTAAAAGATTCTTCTTGCAATATTGTGAGTAACACAACTGCACATTTCTCAAGTACGAATACTGCAGATAACAAGCAATGTGACCAGATATCATAGACACACCTGCCTCGACAACTGTCCTTTCATGTTGCTGAACAGATATTCTTCTGATACTTGTGAAACTTGCAGCCTTACCAACTTGTCATGTAACATCACATGCAAAAGAGATGGTTTAATGGCAACATGTGTTTCTGCAAAAGTAGGGTGTCCCCCAGTCTCCTTTCTCTTTTCAGAAAATTCTGATTAGTAGCTATGGTTTTACTATTGGTTGCTTTATTCCATCACCTCCACTGTTAATAAAAAAAAATGCCTGTTCTTTCTTTTAAAGATTATCATCATTCCAGTGCGAAGAAAACAAGTTTTGCTGAGCAGACATTGTTTCACGAAACTCCTGAACAAAAATGTAATTGAAAATGTTATGATTGAAAGTTAGTAATTGGTGGGAATGTAAGAGTTTGGGACTCTCTTCCGTTAAATGAAGAGGGGGGGAAACCCTCTATCAGATAATGTTGCTTTGGTAGTGCGTATGAGCAATGCTACCATCTGCACTGCCTTCTGGATTAGATTCCCTAATTCCTCAGTCAGCCTTACTCTTTCCATGCTCCCAAAATAGGGAAGCCCTCTCTTTGTAGTTCCAAGCTCAATTCAAAACCTCAACTTTCCCAAGTCTCCTGCTCCTTAAGGCATCTCCATACTTTTCTATCACCAATGAGATTCCCAAGTTAGACCTTTATTCCTCCTCTGTTGCTGCTGTTCCTTGATCACCACCTCTGTCTCCTATTTGAGGTTTTCCTCAAAATGCTTTATTGTACCTTGAGAAGTCTCCTTCTAGATTGTTGAATTGAGGATCTACTGATGTTTCTGAAACCTGTGACCCTAAGAACTTGAGAGGTTTAAGGCCCCTTGCTAATGTGCTTACTTAATTCTGTCTGCCCTAGTCTTTGAGGATTTAAGATCTACTTTTAGTCATTCCCAAGGCTACAGAAATATTATTCAGTACATATATTTTCTGTAGAAGGAACATGGTCCTCCACTCCTGTCCTCCTGGTCTGTTTGGAAAACCGCAGCTGACAAGTTGTCAATTGCCAAGTTGATATAATGTCATTGTGTGGATTTGTCAATCCCATTGTTAAAGATAGGTGTCTTTTTTTTTTTTTAAGATGGCCCAACAACTACAAAAAGAGCAAGTTTTCTCAACCAGAAATTCATTGAAGACCTTCTGGAAGCAAAATGTAATTTTTCTGCTTAGAAATAAGTAATTTATGGGAGTACTGGAGAGGGTATTGATCTCTACTGCATACAATGCAATAATCCTCTAACATATATCAAACGGTATATTGGGGAATTGCTTACTAACTTTGCTACCATCATTGTTGCCCTCTGGGTTATACTCCCTAATTACTCAATTGGTGTTGTTCTTTCCACATTCTCACAGTGGGGTAAGCTGTATTTCTGGAACACAAGTCTGCAACTCAGTTTAGAACAACGATCTCTCACCTCCGTGGTCCCTGCTACTGAACATGGTCTCTCTATATTTTCACTCCTAAAGAGAACTGAAAGAGTTCTTGAGCTTATGTTGCTGTTACCCCATGTTCAGAAGTTCTGCCTGGCAGAAAGAATTTACCTCTAACTTATTTTTTCTACCTGATGACCTTGGCTGCCATGTTGCTGTCAGAAGGTCTAATAATACTTTTGAAGCTCAGGGCTTCAGAAACCTAATATGGCCTTAGAACCCCAACCAGTCCTGTCTCAGTCCTTTGGCTTTGTGCTTTTGAGACCTACATCAACATGTCACAACATCTCTCACAGTAGAAATAGTTCGTCCCATGCTCTTTCCCATTCATGCTCTCATAGTACTTTGGGCAAAACCCAATGGAGGTCAGCCAGCTGTCATTTTAATAACGGTTGTTTTGTCATTGCTGTTTTTGAAATTGATGTCTTTTTCTTCCCCTTTAAGTTCTTTATCCAAATACTACAAGAAGAAGTTACACTGACCAGATGCTGATGGAAGACAATCTAGAACCAAAATGTAATTGAAATATTATAAATTAATTACTTCATGATTGGTAATGGTCTCTTCTGCTTAAGTATCCTCTATTTTCATCCATGAGATGTGGCATTTCCCATATAGTGCTTATGAAAAGTGTCACCACTTTTGTAGCCCTCCGAACCAGCTTCCCCAGCCAGTCGATGGGTGCTGCTGTCACCACACTACCTGAGATGATAGCTCATTTTGTTGCTGGTGACAGTTCTCCAAGCCCAGTTCAAAGCACAGTTTCCAATGCCTGGACTTGTCTTTGTGTCCTTTTGTGTCTCCTACAAGATCTAGTGTCAGACATTCAGTGTCTGCCTCTATTGATGACTCTGCTTTCTTAGTACCTGAACCTTTCAGGAAGGGTTACCCTGAATCTTTCATCCACCTGGAAACCTATACCAGCAGATATAAACAGAGGTTCTACTGACATCTTTGAAGCCTGGGCCATACAAGTCAGGAAAGATCAAGGCACCTGCCAATGAGCTTTTTTAGCCTTGCCTCTCCTTTAGCTTCAGTGGCATTCTTATCACTAGGAACAGAAGTATTTATTTACTACATATACTAATTCAACAACAAAGTTTTCCTGGGTCTTGCTCCACTGTCGTTTTAGAAAAGCCCAGCTCAGTGGCAGTCAGTGGTCCTTTAAATAGCTCCTATTTTCTCATGTTGGCAGTTCCACTGTTAACCCAACTATCTTTTCCTTTACTGACTCCATCACACACAAAGAAAACAAGTGTTTCAGACCAGAAATTACTTTATGAACCTCTCAAACTGAAATGTAATTGAAAATTTATTATTACAAGTTAGTAATTAGTTGGATACTGGATTTTGGTAATGGGCTCTTTTAATAATGCAGAAAAGGCCTCTAACCTCTTTCATCAAATGATGATTTGGGGGCAATGCTTACCAATGATCACACCATCTCTGTCATCCCCTAGTTACTTGGTTGGTGCCCTTCTTCCATATTCTCTTAAGCAGGCTATGCCACTTTTCCTAGCAGAAAATTCTCCAAGCCCAGTTCAGAACAGAGACTTACCGAAAAGCCTGTGTGTCTGTTGCTGCCACCCGTTACTGCTCAACTCTGTTTCCCAGGGAGATTTTACCCCCCAATCTCCTGTTGGGCCACCTAGAAAACTCTCCTTACACACTGTTGACAGCGGGTCTCCTGATGCTTCCGAAGCTGTGGCAATATGAACCTAGCAACAACCAAAACCTCTGCCTCTGTGCTTTCTCAATCCTGTGTCACTGGTAATAAAAATCTTTTAAGAGCCACGTATATTTCAAGAGCAACAGAATTTTCCCCACCCCTCCACCCCCATCCCCGCTCATTTTTGAAAAGTCCAACACTAGCAGTCTTTTAGTATTTGTTGTTTTATCATTTTGTCATTTTCACTGTAAAAATTAAATGTCTTTTTATTTTGTTGAAGCAGCTACACCAAATGTAAAGAAAACAAGCTTTGCTGAAGATAAGTCATTTCAACAACTTATGGAAGCAATAAGTAATTGAATTTTTATTATTATAAACTAAGAATGTGTGGGAATACTAGATTTGGTAAAGATCTCTTCTGCTTATAATACAAAAAAAGCATCTCTCTAATTCAGTTGCGTGATTTAATTTGTGTAATGCTTTTGGACAGCATCACTCTCCCTACTGCCCTTGGATTAGATGCCCTAACCCTCAAATGGTGCTGCTCTCTCCACACTCCCCCAGAGGACTAGACCACTCTGCAGCTTACAACTCTCCAAGTCCAATTCAGAATGGTGGCTTTCCCAAGCCCTTATATCTTAACATATCTCTGTACCTCCCTATTCCTAACAAGATCCAGAGGCCATTCTTCAGTCTACCTGTCTGGAACTGCCATCTATGATGCTGCTACCCACCAAGTTGTAGAGGAGGGGTAGCCACCACATCCCTTGTTCTACTTGCATAACTATCCTTCCTTAGAACTGAATGGAGGATCTACTGAAGTCTTTGAAGTCTCTGGCCCTGTGAGCCTAAGAAGGACCAAGAGCCCTGCCAGTGTGCTTTCTGGATCCTGTGCTTCCTTTGGCTTTGAGTTTTGGGACATAAAGTAACAAGTCACATCACTGACAGCAAAAATACTTTATATATACACATATATACATACATATGTACATGTATATATTTCTCAAGCTGTGTACTATTCCCTACTCTTAATCTCCTGGTCTTAGTCTAAAAGCCTAAGTAACAATCAGTTGCCATTTTTAATATTTGTTATCTTGTATTTGCCATGACAAATGTTAAAAATAAATCTCTCTCTTTTTTTTAAAGCACCTCCACAATACATAAAGAAAACAAGTTTTGCTGACCAGAAATCATCTCAAGAATCTCTGGAATCAAAACGTAATTGAAATTTATGGTCTGAAATTAATTTGTGGGAATGCTGATTTAGTGATGACCTCTGTGTATTACTCGGGATGGTGTTCTAATTTTGATATTTTTGCCTGTCTTTTGTAGACTGTGGAACACACACATGTAAAACAGTGTGGAAGACACACTGTTTTACATATAGTCTTTATGTTGCTGCACTAGTCACCAAGCTTCCTAACAATACTCCACTAGATTCTATCATTGCGGAGCCTCCCTAAATGCCCCAGATACTCAGGGAGTCTCCCTGTTGTCCTGCTTCTTCCCCCAAGTTGTTATCTGGATAAAAACATTCATGGCATTTGCTCTTAATCATCTATGTATCAGCTGCACTGACATAGGAAATAACTGTAGTCATAGATTCCCAGCCCCCTTCACACCCTACTGAATTTGAACAGGATACCCACATACTTCCAATGCGCATTAAACTTTAGGCTATACTGGATTCTATGTTCCCATGGAAGAAGAATAGGGTATTTGAATGAAACATCCTCTGCTTTTGCTGGTGCCCAGAGGAAGTCCATATCACCACTCTGAATGTCTTTGGCCAGGTGAAATTGACAGCTGAAGACTCTGCCAGCTCAGGATTTATATTCTTGTCTCCCTAGTTTGAGTGGAGCCTTCTTATATTCATGTTTCTACACCCTGACAATCCTGGTTAGATGCTGTATAATACTCAAAGTAGACCACCTCCTTAGTGGCTCCCTAGTTAGAGTCTCAGATCTTTCTAGACATACCTTTACCACAGGGTAACCAAGAATAGCGTAGGAAGGTGTAAAACTCTAGAAATATTGCCTTGTGCTCAGTCCCACTGTACAGCCAGGTTGTTGGGCCATTCCTTGGCAAGAAGAGGTCAAAGGTAGGGATGAACTAAGAGATCTCATTCCAGAGTCTTAAACAGACAGTGGGGCATTATTCCCTCTTGCTGCTCTTCATATTAACCAAGGTTCAGAATAAGCCATTTGGGAAGCCAAACTGTTAACCTTATTTTTGCCTCTCTCACTACTTTTCCATCTTCCCACTACATCTGTGCTGTTAATGGAATGGCATTTCACTAGTGATTTCCTATAAGTTATATGTCCCTTCTTTTCTGTCCAGATATCTCTTAATGACAAGCAAACCTATCTCCAGTAGACTACACGTTAGTCAGCTTTATGAGTCTGTTACAAAATACCTGAGATAAGTCACTTAAAAAGGGAACAGAGTTATTTTATATGAGAAAATCAACTCTGAAAGAAAGATTTAGTCTTACTCATAGCTTTAGAGGTTGCCATTCATGAACATTTGGAGCTGTTTCTTTGAGCTATAACATGATGAATAGGAGGGGGAAACTTCATATCAGACAAACAAAGGTAGGGAATGGGGGCTAGCATCTCAATATACCCTTCAAAGACATGCTTCCCATGACCTATTTTCCTCCAGCTCATTCCCACCTATAGGAGTCTTCACCACTCCCAGTAAGTACCATCAACTAAGGAACAAGTCTCATGCACATGAATTTTGAGGTCAATTTTGAGTTGGTCATTAAAAATACTCACTGCTATTTCAGAGGACCTGTGTTATTTCCCAGCACCCACATGGCAGATCACAACTAACTCTAGTTCTGGAAACCCCAACATCATCTTTGGCCTTTGCAGGCACTGAATATGGTGCACTTATACACATGCAGGCAAAACACTTATATACATAAATAAAATATTTTTTAAATCATCAAAACAATAGTACTATATGAGAATTTTCTGAACCAAGTAGTTCTTACTGCTACACAAAGAAAAGAAAGTTTAGGCTAATTCTAAAGGCACTTGCATAACTTGCTAGGCATCACTACTGTCTTCTTATTTTGGGATGACAGTAGTGAATGTTACTTTGGTATTTATAATGGCATTTCTCATGTAACAAATTCTAATCCCCCTAGCCTATGCTCTACCTCCAAACAGTGTGAGTGTGTGTATGTGAGAGAGAGAGACAGAGAGAGAGAGACTAGGAAAGTGTCTTTACAGTATCAAAAATGAGAACAATATTTTGAAACAGTTCTGTTGTACAATGGCTACTTCATGTCGGTGAAGCATCAAAAGCAAACACAGGAAAAGCTAGAACTTCATATCGCAAGCATATTCATTGTAAGAAGATATAGTATATAGAAAATATACAGCAGATCCTTAAATAACCCAATAAAATGCCAAAAGGCATAAACAGATTTTATGAAGAAAACATACAGATGGCAAATAAGCACATGATTGTTGTTTAACATATTTAGTCATTAAAGAAACTAAAACTACATAATGAGATCATTACATTGCCAGTAAAATGGTAACATTTAAATAACATCAGATGGGATTGGCATGACAGATCAGTGAGTAAAAGTCCTTGCCACCTCAATATGAAAGCTTGATGACCCAAGTTCTAGCCCCAGAACCCACATTAAGGTGGAAAGAAAAGAAGAAATATGCAAAGCTGTCATCTGACTCCTGAACGCATTACATATCATACAAACACATAGAAGCATGATACACATAATAACAATAGTTAAACTAAAACTTAAACAATATCATATGAAGTTATTTGCAATTACTGGAACAACTCAAGTTCCCTTACTCTGCTAGTGAAAATATAAAATGATATAGCTACCATGGAAAACAGTTTGGCAAGTTAAATTTACATCTATTACATGATCAAGCCATTCCACTCTAGGTATATACCTCAAAGAATCAAAACTATGTGTTTATATAAAGACATATACCAATGCTCATGACAGCATTATTTATAATAGTCCTTAACTGCAAACAATCAAAATACCTGTAACAAGTAGGTGGGTCAACTTGGAGACATATATAAAAGTCTACTACTCAGTAATAAAATGGAATAAACTCTCAACATAGGAATAAATCTTGATGAATTTCAAATGATTGTGCTAAATTAAACTAAAAACACTATTTTGTCTTATTCTCTTATATAAATTTTAGATATGGAAAGTAATTTATAATGATGGTAAGATGAGGTTGCCCGAGAACACGAGTAAAGAGAGGTATGAGTTACAGCAGCATAAGAAAACTGTTTATTGTAATGGAAGCCTTTGTTAGTTCTGATTATTGTTTCTTGAGTTTAATATATCAAAATTGAAGAAATTTCACATAGTAATTATATGCAGTTTATTCTACTTTAATTATAATTCAATGAACTTTCAAAAGTATATAATTTTCTTTTGATCTGCTTTAGGATCAAGCCAACATTCTCAAAATAATATCAAGGTTTTTATTAAGACATCAACAATTTCACCTCAACACAGGGACTCACGAAATACAAGAGAGCAAAAGGTAGGAAGTTGTGTCACATATGTTTTGTGTTGATGGTTAATATACCAAATTTTTGTTTGTATGGGGTAGCACCATTCCTTAACTTGATACTGTCTAGTCAGAGAATATGTAGTCCTTGGTAGGTCTTAACCTTTCTGTGACAAGGTATAGTGAATTAGCTTCATGTTTAGTGGACCATGGACTTTAGCAGGGATGAGATAATACACTGGATGATGGCGATGATCATGACCATGATGACAATGACAAATACAATAGCTAACATTTACTGAGAGTATACTGTATGTCCTGTCCTGGGCTAAACAAGAAGGAAGGAAAGGATTAAGTTAGGATAGCAAGATGGAAGATAGTTACCACCTAGTTGTAAAGCATGCATAAACAAAAACATTACAATATAGCAAAAGATTTTATTTGTACCAAAGTCAATGGGAATACAGAAGATAAAGAGACTAGTTGTTGCCTTGAGGGGTCTAAAGGGGCTTAACTACAGACAGGTTTAGTCCATTGAAACCTTGAAATATAAGTAGGGATTTTCCATTTTGATAGATGCAATGATACACTGAGGCAATATTGCAGACTGATTGAAAGTATGGGAGTATTATGAGTATGTTTTTCCTGCCAGCCTGGTCCCACAGCTGCGCCAGCCCCCAAATAACACACAAAGACATTGTATTACATATAAAGCTGTTGGCCTGTTACTAGTGTTTCTTATTGGCTAGCTCTGTCTTAAATATTGACCCATTTCTATCAATCTAAGTATCTCCACGTGGTCTTATCTTACCAGAGAGAGGAGCCAGCATTATTTTCTCTCGGTCCTACATTTTGAATCTCCTACCACTTCCCAAATCCTCCTTGTCTCTTTGTCCCACCTATCTTGTTTTCCTATTGGCCAACAGGGCTTTATTCACTAACCAATAAAAGAAACATATTTGCAGAATGACATCTCCCATCATGGGAGCATGAGCCAAGGTGATGGAGTTGAGCCTGTAGAAGTAGATTGAAGCCAGAACCTGGCTAAAGTACAAATTTATCCTCTCAGTAATGGAAACATTGAAACTTTTTTAGTTGGACTATAGGAGGAAAAAGGGAATATTTGAATTCTAAAAAATGATAATCTAGCTGCAGTTTTGTGGAAAGGGTGATAGAGAAAAGAGATTAGTGAAAAGTTAGTTCCAAGTCTTCTGGGACAGTGGAGATAAAAAGGTAGAATACAAGGACTGGGAAGATAGTTCAGTGGCAGCGTGTATGCTTAGCATGTAAAAGGACCTGTGTTCAATCACTAAGATTGAAAAATGAAAACAGTGCAAGGGCCCAAATTAAGGCAGTGGCAGTGAGGTTGAACTGAGGTAGATGGGGAAGGTGATGATGGTAACAAATTTATGTGTAGGTTTTCACAACTGCTCCCTCTCAGTGCTTGGCCTTACCTCCACATCATGGTATTGGGTTGTATTTGTCTATTCTAGTAGCTGCACTTCTTGAAGTCCAGCAATTGTCAATTTTAGTTTCAAGACATGTGCTCAATAAACCCTAGATTGCATTGGATTCAAGTCCCCTGAAGCAAAATAAACAACTCTTAAGATTTGCCATTGAGTACTAGCCGTGTGTTTAGCCAAAATATAAAATATACAAGAGAAGCAAGTTTGGGAAGATGGGGCTTTGTTTTGAACTACTTAGGTGTGGGTACCTGTGTGAGACACCAGAACCCTGGTATTATGTATTAGCATTGAGAATAGTGCTAAGGAAAGAGGTAGAGATTAAGATGTTAGATTATTGCAGAGTAGGTTAACAGTCCTTTTAGAAGCTTAATCAATAATGTGTTTTCCTTTTTAATGTTATACCATACAGCATGATAGAGAAACATCAAATCATTCACATGACAGAGGTGAGACAATGAACGGTATTCATTTTTTCAGTTAAATAACTAGTTTTGTAGTTTTTTCACGATTATAAAGTTTCGCTTTCTTTGCTACAATAAGGTTAAAACTCGGTGGTATTAATGTCACCTCTGCATTTCTGAACAGTGGCTGTGTGAACAGGGCCCTTTGGGGATTTGTAAAGCATAATGATCAGCACGGGAGTTTTGACCTGCTCCATTTGAGACCTGAGCGGGTTCACCCCTCTTTAGGCAACCCAGTGTTCCCTTGCTCTTGGGAGGTCACATATTGATGCTGAACTTAGTGCAGACACGTGATCAGCATGGCACAGTTACAGCCCAGAACTCCTGGACTCAAGCGATCCTCCTGTCTCAGCCTCCCGAGTAGCTGGAACTACAGGCATGCACCACCGTGCCGTGTAAAGTATAATGAAGTTAGGGCCTTTGCTATACAGATGGGCCAAGTTCCTCACATATCATACTACGGTTTGGGAGCTTGGTTGAAGCCCAAGAAGGTGCCTGCCCTCTACTGCTCTACTTTTCTCACAAACAACATAAATGTTGCCTATCTTCTATCTCCCAAGGGCTGGACTCGATGTTTCACAAGCCTCTGCTAGTTCTTAACAAAAGTTTCCCAATCATACACACACACACACACACACACACACACACACACACACACACACACCTACCAATGAAGAATAATAGGACATCACAACCTGGGTGGTTATCAAATCCCCCCAAATCTACTGTACACAAAGCCAAATGAACCAAAGCCCTGTTTCTCCACTCCTTCCATTCTTACCTAGGCATAAAACCTAATTCATTTGTTACTCTACTGCTTATATTTCACATCCCAAATTGTCTATGTTGTGATTTCCTTCTTAAACTCTCACAACCCCATTTGCTTTCTGTTTGTGCCACTCTGCTCTTCACTCTTGCACTAACTAGACCATCTTGGGGCAATGGTGGGCCAATGGAATTTAATAGGAAGAGGGATTTAAAAGCCATGGAATCATCCTATCTTTGAAAGTTCTGCCTTACTTTGTATAAATAACATCTCCTTGTATGTGGTGGTGTATCATTAGTAGTCTAGTCTACTAAGTAATGCAGAATCCCAGCAAGGAGGATAGTTTGCTATTTCCATATTCAATAGTACCTTTTCTTCACCCTAGGAATCAAAAGAGTCTCAATTCCTGTTCCATCTCACCCTACACATGCAACAGAAGGTTCCAGACCATCTCTTCATAATGTTCCGAAGCAAGAGGCAAATACTCCTTCTCAGAATACACATAAACAGAGCAAGTGATTTATAAAATTATGATCAAGATTAATGTAATAATTTCACTTATTAAATGATAATTTCTTTAAAAAAAAAAAAAGCTCTATGTTGTGATTCTTTGTTTGTGCTTTAACAAATAAAACTTACCTGAAGATCAGTCTAAGGAATTGTAGGGACAGGATCACACCTTTGATCTGAGAATTCAGAAGAGTTGAGAACTAGTAACTGGCTACTCTGCTTCTCTGATCTTTCAGCATTAATCCCTATATCTGACTCTGGGTTTTTATTAATAAAACCAATTAGAATACACAATACGGCACTATTCCTTGACATTAATGATTCTATAAAAAAATTAAAATGTGAATTCCAGTAACAGTGATGGGCTACTTCTGCATGCTGACATTCATTTCTACTAGTTGAATTCATGCCTATTAGTTGTGCAGATAAACTGAACATGTGTAGAATACCACTAATAGTCACAAGCTGACAAAATCAGTGAGCCTTTTGTTTTAAATTTGTTGGGCAGATCTAATTTTGAACACTATATTTGCCTTTTTTTCTTTTGGTTGTACTGGAGATTGACTTTGGGGTCTTGTCTACACTAGGAAAGCACTGATCTACACACCCCGATTCTACACACCCCGATTTTACCTTTTTTATTTCGAGTTATGGTTTAAGTTGTTCAGGCTGGCCTCAAATGTCACTATATGGCTCAGGCAGGGTCAGTCTTCCTCAAGTAGCTGGAATTATAGGCCTGGACTCCCTAGACTCAACTTGCCATGATTCTTAATAGTGGTCACCAGAAGGAACTTGAGTGTTTAGTCTTAATAGCCATCAGGTTGTAGGTCTCCTCACTGGTAGACTACAAAAAATAATTAATGCATATTCTGTGCCCTGCAGAGGAAATATCCAATTAACTGTAAATTGCTACTCTTCTACTGTGGCTGAGCACAGGGACAGCCATATTGTCTCATCTGTTGCCGTCAGCACTGGTATTCAACCATCTTGGGAAGTTAGCAGCAGATATTCAGAGTGAAATCTCTGGGCTCAACATAGGTGGCCTCTAGTGCAGTGTTTTTCAAACTTCCTCATACTGTGACCCTTTAACACAGCTCCTCATGTTATGGTGGCCCCCAATCATAAAATTATTCCATTACTACATTGTAACTGTAATCTTGCTACTATTAGGAATCATAATGTAGATATCTGGTATGTAAAATATCTGATCTGCAAACCCCATAGGAATAGTGAACCACAGGTTGAAAAACACTACTGTAGGGTATGCTAGGATGAAGCTTGACTGAATTATTAAGATTCTGGTAAGACATGCCAAGCACCTGCATACACATCACCCTTTTATCTAAGAGAAGCTATTGGTTCAGCAAAAGCACAATTTGGTAACTACTTGCCTTTGTGGAAAAGAAATGGAATTACAAGAAAATGACTGGGGTCAAATAAGCAATAAATATTAAAACAGCATTTGTGGGATGTGTAATGTATACCAGGTACTACATTAATCCCCACACATTTTTATTTAACCCTCCAAATAATTTAATGAAGTTGTTAGTATTTTTTATTCACTAGTCTTCATATAAAGTAAGACTCAATATGGTAAATTATCTGCTTCTCATGAAGAAGAGGGTATTAAAATACCAATGTGAGAAATGTATCCTGAACAAGAAAGATGCAATGAGAAATCCGGGCCTCTGCTAAAGAAAGAGGCCTCAGCTGGAGAGTTCCAGTTTCCTGTAAGATCCCACTATCCTGCAAAACCTTCCCAAGTCTCAGCTCAGCCTTTGTCCTCTTCCGACAGCTATTGGCCAGAGGTGAGTCTGGGCCCAATCGGGGCTGCCTCTCCCCTACAACCTCTCGCCCCCCCCCCCGAACTCCCCGGGTTGGCCCCTGATCCTGCTGCGCCTGTCTCCTGTCCCCATCGAGAGCACCCTTGGAGCTCTGATATACCCCCACCCATCCCCACCTCAAGCCTGCCCCCCCTACCCTGTGCCCTACCCTGCCCACTGTCCTGCTGCTCTGGTTGAGCACCGGGACAGAGGGTGGAACCAACAGTCCACCCTAGACTTCTCGGAGCAACTCTGAACAAAGGAGACCTGCCTATCCACGCGGGACCACCCATAATTTCCACCTGCTTGGTCTCTGATCCCCACCTCCAGTCCTCTGCTGGAGTCCCGGGCCCCTCCCAGAGATCCGCCTATCTCTGTGGGACCACTGCCCACAGGGGAAGTACCATAGAGAGAAGGGGAGACCCCACCAAAACCTACTGCAAGAAGCTATGGGAAGAAGGCAATACAAGAAAACACCTAACAACAGAAAGACAAGCATGACACCACCAGAATCTAGGGAATCTACACCAACTAGAATGGAACACAACAACAAAGCAGAGGAAGCAGAAGGGTACCACTTAAAAATTACCATCATAAAAATGATAGAGGCCCTCTAAGAAGATGTGAGAAAATCCCTTAAAGAAATGGAGGAAAAAACAAACGAAAAAGTGGAAGAAATGAACAAATTCCTTAAGGAAAGTACAGAAAGCCAAGAAAAAACAATTAAGCAGGTGAAGGAAATGGTTCAAGACTTGAAAACTGAAATAGAGAAAATAAAGGTAACACAAACAAAGGAATGCTGGAAATAGAAAAACTGGGCAAAAAATCGGGAACTACAGACACAAGCATAACCAGCAGATTTCAAAAGATGGAAGAGAGAATCTGAGGCGCAGAAGATAAACTAGAAGAAATAGATTCATCGACCAAAGAAAATCATAAATCCAACAAGTCCTTAACACAAAACATCCAGGAAATGTGGGACACCATGAAAAGGCTAAACCTAAGAATAATAGGCATAGAGGAAGGTGAGGAAGCCCAGCTCAAAGGTACTGAAAACATATTCAACAAAATCATCGAGGAAAACTTTCCAAATCTGAAGAAGGACATGCCCAAGAAAGTACAAGAAGCATACTAAACCACAAATAGGCTGGACAAAAGAAAAAACACCTAGCATACAAAATAAAGAAAGAATATTAAGAGCAGCGAAGGAAAAAGGACAGGTAACATATAAAGCCAGACCTATCAAAATTACACCTGACTTCTCCATGGAAACCCTCAAGGCCAGAAGGTCCTGGATAGATGTTCTAAAAGTATTAAGAGAACACGGATGCCAGCCTAGGCTACTACATCCAGCAAAATTCTCAATCACTATAGATGGAGAAAACAAGATATTTAATGACAAAACCAGATTTTCCCAATACGTATCTACAAATCCGGCCCTACAGAAATTATTGGAAGGAAAACTCCAACCCAAGGAAGGTAACTACGCCCACAAAAATGTAGGCAACAGATAATCCAACTACACCAGAAACCAAGGGTAAAGCAGAACTAATATATTCACAATACCACTGCCAACAACAAACCTAAATCAAACAAGCATC